CGATGGCCTCCAACCTACTAGCGATGGCCTCCAACCTACTAGCGACGGCCTCCAACCTACTAACGATGGCCTCCAACCTACTAGCGATGGCCTATGCCCTTTCAAAAAGTGAATGTAAGGTCCAACAGCATTTGGTGGCAGCTGATCCTGCAAAAGCTGGTGCTAATGACTTTGGTGGCTGGACCGCGCGATTGTGTTGATGACCTCGTATGTGACACCATCGTCAATCTGATCCCATGTCAACTTTTCTCTTGGATTTAATTTGTGCTGTTTACTAGTCTTACTACTCATAGTCTTGTGTAATTCCACGTTAATGCACCAGCTTGGCACATTGGACAAGATGACTACTGTAGACCATCCAGACTGAGTCATGAGTAAATGGTTGCACATGTTATCACGTTCATTTTTTGCTTCAAACCCTCGCTACGTCACCTTTTGGAGCCCATCGCTACGTTCGGGGCTCCTGGCGGCCTTCAGGAGCTCTTGCTGCACAAAATCCCCATGAAGAGTGAGTGCCACTAATGATATTGTTCGCAGTGCTTCTTTGAAACGGAGATGCATTGTGGCCAAAAATTCAGCGCGGAACCAGTGCTGGCAAACCGAGAGGATACAACTTGCACATGGAGTGCCAGTGTTGACTTTTACTTTTACTATCTCTAATCACACGAGCAAAACTGACCATCCAGCAGTTTGATCACTGTTCACGGTTTGATTTTGTGCACTCTGCGGCAATCAATTGCAAGGCCAGTCTTGACTGCTCGTCTCAAGGTATGGTATGATGCCAAATCTACGATCCAGCCAAGGCTAATTGGCTGGCAGGCCCATGGTATTTCAGGAACTGCCATCGTGTGCCGCTCAAAACAAGTGGCACTGCTTGGAACTGCTTCGAGTGTGTGTTAATAGATTTGTGAGGTGAAAACACACGAAGGAGCACAACTAAATGGCCTCCACCCTAGTAGCGATGGCCCCCAACCTAAGAGCGATGGCCTCCACAGCAGCATTCCAAGCAAAATGCTCATATGTGCTTGTCCACCCGGATGTAAAAGGTGCGATATCCCTTATTTATTTGTCATTCATTGACATTTGGAATTTGGTATCACCTTGAAATAATGTGTCAGTGGCTTCTTTTGGCAGGCATGTTGAAGTTTAGATAGATGTAGTGTGGCTGTTGCGCAGTCAACACCACTAGCTCTTGCAGCTGCCTCAGTTGCACCACTAGTGAAACAAAGAGGGACGATCCATTTTGTTTGCATGCTTGCATGTCAGATCGAAGCAGATTTCTGGACGTACTGAAGAAGCTACTAGTAACAAAGGGCATCTAGGAGCAAGGACGCTACTAGTAACTCCTGGCATTGCTAGTAGCAAAGGACGCTACTAGTAACAAATCTACTGTTGATGTCGGTGTCCGAATCCCTTCGATCAGGTTATAAGATGGCAGCGATGGCGGCAGCCCAGGCTGGGCAAGTTGGACAGCCACAGGTGCGGGCGCCAAATCCGACTGCGAAAGCGTTTGTTACTAGTAGCGTGGCACTTGTTTCTACTAGCTTCTTGTTACTACTAGTAAGGCACCTGTTACTACTAGTAAGGCACTTGCTACTAGTAGCGTGGCACTTGTTACTAGTAGCCTTGGTTTTATACGAGGGGGTTGCAATGATGCGTAGAATCATAGAGTCCTTTCAGGCTGCGGGTGCCCTCTGCCAGGGTAGGGTATTTCAGACATTCCAGGGTAGGGTTTTTTGTGATGTTTTTTTGTGTTTAGATCATTTTTTTGAGTTACAAATGGCAATGGCCTCCCACCTAATATATAATTATTGTGATATCCTTGGGAAGTGGCAGCCAATGGGAACCATGTGGACATGTTGCCAACAGCATAGCCTGACAAGTAGCAACTGGCCACATCGGGACGAGTAGCAACTGGCCTCACAGTTCCGGCTCACCATATATTTTTTTAATGGTTCAATGATGTTCAGTTCAATGTGTTCCTTAAAACATGCAGTGCATGTTGAGAAGTGCATTCGTTAGGCAAGCCCAGCAGAAATGATGGTGGCTGAGCTGAAGGGACTGACTGATATCTTTTCGAGGCGGACGAATGACACTCAAACGTTTGTACTTCTGGGTGGGTTGGAGGCCATCGCTAGTAGGTTGGAGGCCATGGCGTAACTCAAAAGACGATTGTCTTCGTTTTTGTCGACGCAACCCGTTCTTCATTTGTTGAATGCTTTGTGGCAGGATGCAGGTCAGTTGCTACAGCAAGTGCATCGCAAATGTGAAGGAGTCTCCACCTGCAGAGATTTTGCCGGTGAAGCTCCCCAGACCACTTGGTGCATTTTGCCAAGTATGTTCGTCAATGGCTGTTTGTGCTTCGAGGAGGAAAAACTCAGCGTTGGCGAGATGAGCTGTGTAGATAGGTCGGTCTCTCAAGATGCTCTAAGTTACTAGGAGCAAAGACGCTACTAGGGGCTCCTGGCATCGCTAATAGGAGCAAGGACGCTACTAGGGGCTCCTGGCCTCGCTACTGGGAGCAAAGACGCTACTAGGTGCTCCTGGCCTTACTACTAGGAGCAAGGACGCTACTAGGAGCAAGGACGTTTTTGGACTGTTTATGTGACTGTCTTTGGCAATGAGAATTACGGTAGCTGCCCCACATATGGTCTCCCGTACATTGTTGGGAGTTTGACTCTGAAGGTGTGTCAACAAGTTCATGGACGTTCACACAAAGGCTGCATCACCACCTGCAGTAGCAAGTTGCCGTGAACTTCCTTCTTTGAGATACACTTGCCAATCTTGTGTCGCTGGGTTGTTGCCCGGAAACAGCTATTAGATTGGAGGCCATCGCCATTAGGTTGGAGGCCATTCCTATTCGTAACTCAAAAGAATATTGAATATTGTGTGCGTGTTCCTTTAAAAGAATTTCTAGCTGCATGTAGGTCGGTGCGGAACTTCAAAATGCAATGGCTGCGGCTCGATGCCCTGACATCCGTTTAGCTGTAACGGAGGAGATAAGATTTTGCAAACAGCGGAGATGACAAGATGATGGATTCAGGATTATTCAACGGCTTCCATTTCATGACTGTGATGTTTGGTCCAAAAATTATAGATTTCACTTCACTGATACTTACTAATTGTTTTTTTTCTGTGTCGGTTCTGCATGTCAATATATTTCAGATTTTTTTCAATATGTCTCACAGAGAAATCACACGACGTACAAGAGCATTTTTGCTACATAAAAGGCTACTACTAGGAGCAAGGACGCTACTAGGAACAAGTGCATCGCTTCTAGTAACAAGTGCCTTACTAGTAGTGACAAGAAGCTACGTTCGGGGCTCCTGGCATCGCTACGACCGGAGCGATCGGACGCTACTAGGGTCAGGCAACAGGTGTCTACATCTGAGGCCCAGCAGCCCATGCCTCCCAGCGAGTGAAAGGCCGCTCTTGGGGGAGGCCGCTATTAGGTTAGCAGTTCTCCTTTGTGACTATTGATTCACCTTTCACTTCTCTCCTTCCAGTCCACCTTTGTGATCCAAACCTGACCACGTGACGGATTTTTGCATTGCCAGGTAAGCGAAAATGTGAGGGTGCTGGATTGGCACAAAAATAACCTCCAAGCCAGATGAAATTGAAGCAATGGCCCCGAGCAAATGTTGATTTTGCTTGTTCCGCCGTTAGTGGCATGTTCGCATTGATTGACAAGTTAAAATTTGAATATCATCACAAGTGGCATACAACTCGAGCAACCATGGATGGGACCAGATCATTGGTCAGAAATGTCTCACTCTTCACCCATCTTGATTTGAGGATGAAAAGCATCGGCATCAGAGAGCAAATACATTGACAAGATGTTGGCTACGCTTCGACGAGCGGACGTCGTGTGAACATGGTGATTAAAGGCTCAAATAAGGAATATATACAGTTCATGAGAGATTTTTTAGCTGAAGTGAAACACTTTGCGAGTGGAAGCATGTAACTATTCGTAGCGATTGCCAAATGTCACCCAAACAAGCTGTTAATGGTCACCACGCCACAAGCTGCACCCGGGCAAGGCCTCGAGTGCTTCTGTAAATTTCATTATCTTAACTTGTTGGGGCACGTTATTCGCGTGTACACGGCGTGTGCCAATATGCTCTTGGCTGGTGAAAGTGTGGAGCTATGGTCACTCAGCTCGGTATTAGCTTTTCGGCCTTTGGAAGATCCTTGTTTCCTCGCAAAGATGATGGATTTTGGTAGATTTGTTGATCATCGCACATGGTGCAGCATGCTCTGATTTGGTGCAGAAAAAGCTAAGGTCAGGACAGCGTTTGATCATGATCTCCCGCAATGATGAGCATCGACCGCTGGCTCGTTTTGGAGCCACCATTGCCATGGCTCCAGACTGCTCTGCAGTGGCTGGGCGAGAGACAGGAACACTTTAGACACACGGGGAACAAAGAGGAAAAGAAAATAACAACATCCAAAAAGGGCAGGAACCTGGACCATAAAGTGGTCTAAATGGCTAAATCAACAGGGGAAGAAACGACTCTAGGGTTCTTGTTTCCAAGACCAGAGTGGGTCCCCAAGATGAGACAGTTTTCTTGGGTCGTTCCATTTTTGTTGCCTGCATGGACCATTAAACTGTCAGAAAAGGGCCATAGAGGGCAACAAGGGTCTTGGGCTGGACGAGCGGTGCACAGGCCTTGTTTCTCCGTGCGTTTGTGAGAAAACATGGTGCACAGAGGTGAAAAGGCCTCCAACCTAGTAGCGTCCTTGTTCCTAGTAGCAATGCCCTTTGCTCCTAGTAGCTTCTTTGTTCCTAGTAGCGATGCCAGGAGCCCCTAGTAGCTTCTTTGTTCCTAGTAGTATGGCCAGGAGCCCCGAACGTAGCGTCCGATCGCTCCGTTCGTAGCGATGCCAGGAGCCCCGAACGTAGCTTCTTGTTACTAGCGATGGCCTCCAAATTAGCCCAGTTTCGAGCCTCTTTACACCAAAAGTCCTCTTGGTTCTGCCGAGGTCTTAGTGATGGGTGGCATTGAAGGACACATTATTGGAGGCAATGTTCTTTTGCATTTCTTCATTGTTACTGCTTGCCGATGGACCATGGTTTCGTCACTCCATGTACAGATCTTACAACATTCCTCATTGTACAGAATACAAGCGATACAAGCCAGTTTTCGAATCAATAGGTCTGTTCTGGTTTGTTTGTCCCAAAACCCCACAGGTATTTGCTTGAGGGAAGTTTGGCGCTTCGACGTGGATTTGCAAAGCTGGGATCGGCTGGAAGAGCCACCTTGGACTCCTCGACGTGGTGCCATACCGGTAGTGTGTGAAGGCGCCAATCAGACAGTTCCTGGATCAGCTTGACAAGCAAAGGAAGTCCTGCACGTGACGAAGTGTGTTTTTATCACGGTGTCTTGCTGACCTTCCAATTTGTGTGTTCTTGTTTTGCTTTCTCTATGTTCTCTTAGGGAGAACATGGGTGATACATGGTTGATTATCGTGATTACTCATTTGTGAATTATAAAGAGACACATCAACAAAAGAAACATATAATATATATCTCATCAGTCTGAGCTTGTTTTTGAGCTTGTTTTGGTTTTGTTTTCTCTTGTTTCCCTGCGCCAGGTCGACTCCTGTTGGTGGGCGGAACGGGGCTCGATGCTCATCCAGTTCGGGAAATTTGGGCTGCGGAGATGGACAGGTGCCTTACAATGCCACAGTTCCTACAGCAATTGGTTGCCTTTTTGCCCTTTACTAGTAGCTCCTGGCTTTACTAGTAACAAGAAGCTACGAACGGAACAAAAGGGGCTACTAGTAGCTGGAACAGTAATGTTTCTTTGTTCATCGAAAGCCTGGCATTCGATGTGAAGCACTGGAGTCTTGAAAGTTGCCAGCCTGCGAAGCACTTGTTGTCCAGATGGTGTCCAAAGAACTGGCGGCCGACATCCAAAGATGTACCATGGGAAGATGCCGTGTGTGCACTTTGGGAATCTTGGCACCAAATCAGTTGGGGGACAAATGGGACTCCATGTGAAGGCAAGAACTACCCTAAAATTCGGGGCAGAGAATGAAAGGAAGGTCTGTTTGTTTGACACGGTTTTTTCTCCTCAAGCCGTACTAACAGTGTGCTTCAAACCATGGTATCCATTCAGGGTGGATCCGCCGATTCAAGAATGATTGCTTTTCGTGTAAGCCCTTTGCAAATTCGGTCGGCTAGGTCTTGGCCACAGCCTTTCCAAGTTATGTTCCCCTCAAAATCTAGGAACCAAATGAAGACTAGTAGCGTCCTTGCTCCTAGTAGAAATGCCCTTTGTTCCGTTCGTAGCTTCTTGTTACTACTAGTAAGGCACCTGTTACTAGTAGCGATGCCCTTGTTACTATTTGCTTTTTCCACTCAAAATCTAGGAACCAAATGAAGACTGCCAGGGCTTCAAGGAAGCTCCCGCCGCCTTATTTGGGGCGGCGGAGGAGCTTCCTTGAAGAAGTCTGAGCTTTCCTGCGTCCTGTGGCCCAGATGGTTACGTGTATAAGCCTGCCTTCTCTTAGCAGCCGACCTCCCGGCATTAAACACATTGAAAAAGGTTGTATTTTTTTTCAAATACTGTATTATATATTTAATGTGTTCCTAGTGGCTTCTTGCTCCTAGTAGCGATGCCAGGAGCCCCTAGTAGCTAGCGTCCTTGCTCCTACTTATAGATATATTACTAATTTTGAGGTGAACAACTGCTTTGTCTCAGGTCTTGGCCTTATTGTTCCAAATGGCTAAGGTACCGAGCTCACAGAACATCCACTATGGAGGTGCGAAGGATCATGTTGCTTAAATCGTTGCTTGTTTCATGTAAACAGCATGCCTGCGGGGCCCTGCGGGGTGCATGTTCTTCCGGTTTCGAACCAAAGTCGAAACTTGTTGCGATTTCGACTTTGGTTTCTGATTTCTACAGCTGGAGGTCAAGCAACCCACAGCAAACCACATTCACAATGAGGCTCACATACTGACCTGATTCCAGGCAGTCTCCTCTTGTTTGACTCCGCGGGCGCTCTTTGGTCTAGCAAAGATGAAGGGAGAACCTGGACCAAGCTTGTTTCAAAATTGCCTTTCGGGCAAGAAGCTGAGCAGGCCGGCTGTAAGTGAAGATTGCATCGATGTGATGCTGTGCAGGCTTTACCCGGTGCCAGTGTTGCCATTTCCACGGGTTTCTTAGGTGGCCTTTGTTCGATGTTGCAATGGCTACCTAGTGGCCGTGACTATGTCCACAAAGGTTTGGCTATCGTTTGACGCTTGTCTTGAGATTGGAGCTTTGCATGTGCAAGTTGAAGTCGCAGACTGTGGTTCACGTTTCTGTTTGAAGTTTTGGAAGCTTCTGTTTTGGACATCCTGTGTGCGCACCGCATAGCCGGCATAGCACAATCAATTGATTCAACCAAGTGCAATGTGATGTCATGAGTCATGCTTCTCATAAGGATGGGATAACTTGGGCAACTGCAGATGCCGGACGGGATCATACCAGACGACCCTTACAAGAGCATGGCGCACAAGGCATGAAGCAGCATGCCAAGCAAAAGGCAACTTGAACACATGTCACGGTTGCAATTTGAGGTAAAAGTGGCAAGAGCAACTTCCTTCCACTTTCTGACAGACCACCAGGCATATGGTGCTGTCTTTTTTGGGTGTTGAGCTTGATTGTAGGTTGGAGGCCATCGCTACTAGTAACAAGAAGCTACTAGAAACAAAGGGCATCGCTACTACTAGGAGCAAGGACGCTACTAGTAGCTTCTGGCCTTACTACTATATAGTAACAATAAGCTACTAGGAGCAAGTGCATCGCTACTAGTAACAAAGGTCATTACTACTAGTAGTCTAGTAGCATGTTTACTACTAGCAACAAGAAGCTAATAGGTTTCGAGTTTGTCGACTTGTCCAGGTCTACGCTGCCAAGTCACCGACGTGGTGACTTGCGATACATCGGAGATCTTGATTGTTGCTCGGAACCGCGAGACTTGTCAGTTGACTCTTTGGCGATTATCTCTACAGGAGCGTTTCGGCAAGGGAGAAGCTGCAAGGGAGTTTTGCTTCTGCCAAATGCAGAGAAGAACCATCTTCCCGTGTGCAAAATTCTTCTTAGTATGAGTGGCTTGAGAATTACGCTCTTTACCAGGGATCCACTGCAATTTTTGGAGGAGGAATGTCGTGCTTGCTGGCAATGCCTCGTGCCGCAAATCCATATCTATCCAGGCACAGCTTATGCTTCACATTGCTTCACTATATTTGTTTGGTACGATGAAGGCTTTTTGTTGTTCTTTTTCTCAGAGGGCCGTTGTCTCACTGATCTTGCCCTGGGCACTTCTATGCTCAACTCTAAGCGTTGTCTCACTTTGCTTTGTAGATTCATTGGAATTGAGAAAGCTTCTTTGAAGCTGCAAGCTGTGCAGGATTTTCATCTGTGAATCAACTTGTGGCAGCGGGCCGTGCGGTGGTGGAAACGCCACATGGCCCTGAAGTGCGAGCTGTGCTTCCTTGCAGCATTGGAGAGTCTTGATCACTCGGTTTCCCTATCCTTGCCCAATGGTTTGGCCTCATTCTTCTCCGTTTTGTCACAGTGCCCTTGTCCTGTTGCTGTGGAATTGTGAGCGATATCGAACAAGTATTGTTCCCGCGTTTTGTGTCCATGTTCGCGTTTTGTGTCGAGCTTTCTCGTTCTACAGGAATGAACAGTGAGGTTTGCCCCTGCACCCTGAGTTGGGTTTGTTGGGGCTGATGCATCATATGGCCATATTTTGTTTTTGCCCTTCTTGGCGCTAAACTAATGAGCTTAGCGTTGCAAAACCATTTCAGAGGATGCAAAGATGCTTGTCTGAGCTAAGGTTTGTGGAATTTAATCCAATCAATGAATTCACCATTTGGCGTGCAAGCCCATTGCCTGTGGATCGCCATCGGGCCATGCTAGATCGCTTAGGGTCTTCCCAGACCAAGGTGGATGTGTTTACGTGGCAGACGCATGGCTTTGTTTAGCACCTTTTTCCATTACGTTATGTGTTTATACTACTACTAGGAGCAAGGATGCTACTAGGGGCTCCTGGCACTACTAGTAGCAAGAAGCTACTAGTAAAGAAAGCAAAAGGGCATCGCTACTAGTAACAAAGGGTCGACTTGCCAAGTCTTGTTGCTTGCTTAATTAGTGCTTGACATTCTCAGGATCCACATCATGGGTGCTCTTCTTCCTTGCATGGGCAACGACTGGATTCCTCGTGGTTTGGCAAATGGTTCCACTCTTGAACTGCCTTACCAGAAGGATGACGAATGGAACTATTGGCACTGAGATGGTCGCTTTGCGGGCCGTTTGATGGTGCCCGGGGCCTCCGCCATTTAAACTCAGGCGATTATTCTTTTGAATCAATCCGATGACTCATTTTACTTGATATCCTCACCAAATGTTAATAGCTTCTTGTTACTACTAGTAAGGCACCTGTTACTACTAGCGAGGCACTTGTTACTACTAGCGAGATGACTCATTTTACTTGATATCCTCACCAAATGTTGCGGCACGTGCCTTCACCAATGGTTTCAATGAGTCATTGGCTGTTTTGCTGATCGTGTGCGGATGATGTTGTAAATACCCGCAGCCATTGCCTGTGTGCAGTTCGACTTCAATTTTGTTCTTTAATTCGAGTCATGGCTGTGCCAACTTCCAGACCGAACAATAGCCAAGAGGCTGTTCATACCATTCGCCACGGGCAAAACGTGCCACTTTGCTGCGGGACTTTGGAAGCAGGTTTTGGGGAGTCATCTGCAGGGTCGAATAAAACCAGCCAGGTGTGACAACACTTCTTGCATGCAGACAATCCCTTCGATTGGAATTAACATTCTACAACAAGTTCTTACAAGGATCATGTCAAGAAAAGCCATTCACACTGCCATCACGAGCAGAAAGACACTTCAATCATTGGCAGGACAGATGTGATAACCATTCAAGCACAATGCTCAAGTCTTGCAAAAACACTAAGAACAGCAACTTCAAAACAGTCTTGCCCAAGAATCCCAATCGCTCTTAGGTTGGAGGCCATCGCTCTTAGATTGGAGGAAACAAAGAAAAAAGAAAAGGTTTGTTGGAGGCGTATCATACAGCGAGGGTTCGTCAAGGGAGCTTCTCCCGCCCTCAGGGGATCGTCATGTGTCTCCTTCCACGTGATAGCTTCCTGTCTGATGTTTTATGATTTTACTTGCTACCCTTCATCACAGACCCTAGGAACAAAGAAGCTACTAGCAGAGGGCATCGCTACTAGGAGCAAGGACGCTACTAGGGGCTCCTGGCCTTACTACTAGGAGCAAGGACGCTACTACGGGCTCCTGGCCTCACTACTAGGAGCAAGGACGCTACTAGGGGCTCCTGGCCTTACTACTAGGAGCAAGGACGCTACTACGGGCTCCAAGGATTTGCATGGAACATGAAACATCCAGGGGGTTCGACATCATGTGGCTTCACAGCAAGGTGGAGTGGAACATTGAAAAGCAACTTTTGAGGAACCGAAGCAGAAAAATCCTTGATCAAACGCATGAACATGGACAAGCCACACATTGCAAGGCCTCACAATGCTAAATATGTGCATGGTGGCATTGTAGGTTTTTCAGCTTTGACCAACTAGTTTCGGGATCAACCCTGCAGAAGATACCAACTCTGAAGACAATGCCATGGTATGTGACTTTTTGAAGCATGATACGTTGTCAGAGCTATGTGGACACAGAGAACTCGATCTTCCCATTTACTCTTTTGTCAAGCGCGGCTCTCCAGCGAGGTTGCAACACGAGACACGGCATTGCAGCACGTGTCTGGTATGACAAGCACAAACCAAGTTGACACTTTCCAGAAGAAGCCAACTGTGGAAGAAGTGGAAGCTCGATATCCCTCGAGAGCTCGATTGTGGACTGTCCTTCGTGTTTGTGCCAGTCATGGAGACCCTTGTCGTGTTCATGCCTGGCTCAGAAGACATTCAAATGAGGAGTGTCCTGAAGCCGACCCACGAATGGCAGACTTTATGATACATGCCTATGCCAAAGTTGCCGACTTGGCAAGAGCAGAGAAAGCACTTGTGGACATGATCCGAAATAGAGTTCATCCCACCACAGAATCCTTCAATGCAATATTGGCAGCTTGTGCACGGAAAGAGGATGTGTCATCAGCGTTAAAATGGTTTGGGAGGATGCTAGAGGCGGATTTGGTGCCAGACATTGTTACCTACAGAACACTAATTTCCACGTGTGCACGTGCTGGTAATTTGCCATTGGCGGAGGAGTGGTTAGGAAAGATGCTCAGAGCAACGAGAAGACTTGACGTTGTAAGTTGCAGCTCAATCATTGGTGGATATGCGTCGACAGGTGATGCACATCATGCACAGAAATGGCTTGAAAGGATGCTGGCTGCTGGACTTCGTCCCAGTGGTTATGCCTTCAACCCAGTGATTTGTGTGTGGTCCTATGCAGATCCATCCAAGTCTGAAGCTTGGATCTGGAAAGCCATGGAGGCTGGAAGTAAACCAAGTGACGCAGCACTGCAGAGGACACTTGCAGGATATGTTCAAAACCACAATTGGGAAGGATGCCTTCGCATGAAGGATCTTCTAAAGCGTTTGAAGCGATGGCCCAGCTCATGGGCAATTGCATTGTTAGCAAAGCCGCATGCAGCTGCTGGTGATTTTGAGTCTATCGAAGAACTCATTCAAGAGCTTCATGTCAATCAATCGAATCCAGATGCTTCCTGTTTCAAAGCCTTGCTTGCGGCTTATGCGCGTTCGCCTCGTCCAGTTGAAGATGAACGAGTCGAGTTGTGTTGCGAGCAATTGTTTGCTTTGGTCTCGCTCGAGCCAAGTCTTTTGGGAGATGCTCGGCGAGCTTTGGGCCAGGAAAGATATCAGAGACTGGCCAGCAGATTGGGATTGAACATACAGCCACAAATTCACCGTAAAGGGCATGCAAGGAATCGTGTCGTTGGATCGTGGGGAGAGATTCCTCCTGCTTGAGGCAGTGAAGTTCCAGATTCCTGAAAAAGCTGCCAGAAATATGTAAGCTCAAACGGTTTGGATGATAAATGTAGCGATGGCCTCCAACCTACTAGCTAGCGATGGCCTCCAACCTAATAGCAATGGCCTCCAACGTGAAACATTACAATTCAATACCTTCGCTCCAGGCATGTTTGTAGTTTGAAAGTATGACAGTTGATCATCTCATGTGGATACATCCACGCAGCCTGATTATGTAGCTCGAAACCGCAACGCACTGAGCATGTTGCTGCAAATTATGCCAGCATAGACCCCAAACAGTTTCAGCATCATTTTGTTCAAGCGTCAACTCCTCGAATTCCAATTTGGGAATGGCATGTAAAAAGTTTGAAACCTGTAATGTTGACCTCTGATTGATAAACGGGGTGGCATAAATTTTGGTTTACTCTAACAAGAAAACATTTATATAACTTTGAAATGAAATGATCCCGTACAAAAACAATAGTTGTTTTAATTTATAGTGTTTTTTGTTGCAAAATGTGCTAACTTTATTTAGGGTGAGAGTGGGTTTATTAATCAGGGCGGGAACTTGGCTAACTTTATTTCGGGTCCCTTTATTAAAATAGTAGTAAGGCCAGGAGCCCCTAGTAGCGTCCTTGCTCCTAGTAGGTCAACATTAATCTCGAGTACCTATTAAAAAACGGACCCCTATTAGAAAAAAGTCATGTCGGAAACCCCTAAATACGGTTTATATTTGTTTTTAAATTACCGCCCTTTCAAGCCGCTACTAAACTACCAACATTGCCGGCTTTGAAGGAGTTTTTTTTTATTAGGTTCCAAAAACAACGGTAACTGCCCACCTCTGTCCACCCTGCCTATCCACCATGACACGCCGCGCTTACACCAGCAGGCTTTCCTTCCCCCAATGGCACGGACTCACGCAAACGCACTTGCCACCGAGGTCATGCAACACCGCATGGGACAGCGACATCACCTTTCGAAAGCTTTAGCTGTTAGTCTACTGAAGAATCACTATTCTAATGAAGGTTTTTGTAGGGGAAAAGGAAGACCCTTCGATCTGGAGCTTTTTTGCATTTTTGATACGAGTTTAATAAAGGATTTTATATAAAGCTTTACTGATTTACTTTTTGGTTTTGAAGCTCTTCCCAGGTGACCCTATTTTCGACCCCCCGATTTCAGGGACCCCCTATTAGAAAAAATGCGACCGAGGTTTCCTTATTAGGGGGGGGGGGCCGTGTTTTTTAATAGGTGGACCGGATTAGTTCCGGATTCCCGGGGTCACATGCGCAAACACGAAGGGATATATTTCATGAGAGAGTCCAAGGATGATATCAAAGGCTGCATCACTGCATTCATAGCCACACGAAAACATACCCGGACAAGGTGGTGGAGAAAGGGAAAACGGCATGGCCAAGCAGGGGATAAGGCCGGGACAAGGTGGCGATAAGAGGGCCGACAACGCGCACAAGCAGGACACAGACCTGGACAAGGCCCGGACAAAGCCCCCACAAGGAGCTCGCGAAGCTGCCCCACGGCGCGGCCACGCAGGACACACAGACCCAGGATGACCCAGGCCTGAACAAGGACCGGGCGAGGCCACTAAACTGCTTGGTCAGGAGGACACCAGGATGACAAGTTAGGGACAAGAGCGCGGGTAGGAGGACAAGAAGAGGACAACACCGGGACACAGGGCTCAGGGGAACGGCAGAGACTGCAGCCAGTGTGTTTTGCTTGAGAAAGAAGCCAAAAATTAGACTGTTGGGGGGATGTATTGTGACAAGGTGAGTGTAGAACAGTTGGACAGCCCAACGACTTGCAAAGTCTTCCAAGCAAAAAAGAGCCGCAAAGAAACCGCTTCAGCGATGTGCTTGCCATGGCAGCCTCAGCTTCCTCGTGGTGCACATCCTCAGCCCGTCGTCGATGACAGATGGCTGTTGGGTGACCGGCCTTCTATTTTCGCACTACTTTCTTTGTTGCGTGCCAGGGAAGCACGTCAAGAAAGATGGGCATCGATTGCCTGATTGTTGGGCATATGGGTGGGCCCGCGGAACCCGAGAAGTTTGCTGCAATGATGCGCGAATTTCGGACATGGAAGAAAAGGCAGCCTCTTTTCGTTCGGGCTCGATGGACGCACCTTCTCCATGCGTGGGGGCAGAGTGGCAATCACTGCGATATCTCAAAGAGTCCGCAGAGAGGCTGTTTTATCAAGGTGAACCTTTTGGTGACGAAACACTAGAGCAGCAGCTCATAGAAAAATCTGATCAGACTTACGAGGCACCAGGATTGCAATGCAATTGAATCACAGTCGTGTACAAACATTGCATTATCCTCATCTTTTTGTTTTTGCTGTTGTTTGTTGATTCGATCTGTCACTCTCTTGTCACTTGTGGTGAGATAGGTTTGCCAAAAGAAGTTCTGCCAAGAGATGAGTGTTTGTTTTATGTTGAGGTGTAAACATTGTTGCAGTCCAACCCTGCTCGAATTGAGACCACTACATGTAATTTACCGACGTGTGTGCGTGTGTGTGTACCCATGTGCACCAGGCATGTCCAGCAGCTTTGCTGCTTGCTTTGGATTCACGCGTTTGCCGATTGAAAATAAACAGTTATGTGAGCGGACAAGAGGATTCTGCGGCAGAGGCGAGCCTTGATCAAATGAAAGGCGAAAAGGCCATGTCTACAATACTTTTGAAACCCTATGTTTCAGAGAGGACCTTTAACGGACCAAATTTGACAACATTAAATATTGCAAGACTCAGAAGGAACCAACAGGAAGTGTTTTGATTGAACAATCGCTGCGCCAGTTGATTGATGTAAAGATTTGCTTAAAGACTCAGGTACTTTGTGCGCCAGTTGTGGAACTCCTTGACCTGGAGCGAGACCATGGGATGGTCCAATGTGATGGATCCGATGGTGCGTCCTTCGTTATATGCCTCAGCTGCATATGTGCAGGTGGTTAATGTTCCTGGGACGAGAAGCATACATTGGCATACCCGGCATGCATCAAACCGTATGTAGAAAGAGCCTATGTATTGTATGGTACCAGTGTAGAAGCAGGTTGACAAGGCCTTTGTGCAAATGGATATATGACCCATCCTTGTGACCACTGAGGCTCTTTTGTCGCATCCCTCGCCCACATGCGCTCACTTTGAGATCAGCACGAAAGATTTGATAGCAGATGCAGCTGGACTTTCTTTGACAACCTCAAAATCCACCGGGACTGATCGTGGGCAAGGATAGAATCGGAAGCCCACATTGTCACTCTGAATCCTTCAAAGAATATCCTAGGACTGTGGTCCACATTCCAGCACCAAACCTGATCCTTGAGGACGAACCTGAAGGCCTATCCGGATATCGCCCGTATTGCTTTAATTCTGGGCACGCAAGGACCTTTGGTCGCTTCAGTCTCTGAATGTGATGCAGCACGCGCAATGGCACATCTGTTTAATGCGCGACGCTTCCTGGACATTCGCTACAGTTTGGCACTGCTTCACCTGCAGAAAGCTGAAGAGGCGGGCTTTTCGTTTATGAGCGGATCCCTCATGAGGCGCTGGTGTAACATTTCCGCATTAAACATGTTCTTGTTCTGGTTGTTTGGGTGATTTGATGCATGATGTGTGTTGTTGATGATATTTTCCTGGGTGTTTCCAGGGAACTGCTCCATAGAGCCTTCCTTAAATGCCGGGCTATATCATGTTTGCGACATCATATTCAAGAGCTATGACTTGAAACAGTTGAGTCAGTTGAGAAAACTAAATCTTAAGAAACGCCAAAAGAAAACGGCAAACGTCGAACACATACACGTCCGAAAGCGGCAAAATGTGATAGCATTGAACACATGATCCGATAAAATCAATTACACAAACAAAAAGATAACAATGTTGCATGGCTCCAAAACTAGGCTCACGGAAAACTGCAGGTATTTTTGCATACCTTGGCTGTTCTGTTTCTTCCTTCCCTTCCAAGCATGCATCTTCTTCCAAACGTTTGTTCATGTTGATCAATGAAGGGGCATCCAGAATTGATAAAGATAGAACTCACTGCAACATTGACGAACACACATTGGAATGGTCATGAATGCCCCTAGGCACACCCATGAGTGCCCCTCCCATGAAGCCCCTTGATCCCATTGCGTTTTACCATTTTACCTCCAGACTGCGCTTCCCTTCCAGACCTTGTGCTGGATTTGGCGCTTGCCAACAGTGTCAACAGGACATTGCAACATGCGAAGTGATGCGAAGTTGTTTCAGGATGTATTATATAACTTGGCGTGCGGGATTGCGCATGTTCACTTTGTTCGTGAGGTTGGACACACTGTTGCTTCGTGAGCGAACCTTTCTTGACATCTAAGGGGTGGGAATGGGATGGGACAGTGTTGCGTTTTTGCAGGGACTTCCTCAATTCGGGGCATACTGCACATTCTTGATGTTCGGTGTAGATCATTGCGCTTTGCAACCTCAATGCAGCCATCGCGGGTTGAACCGCCAAGTAGCACTGTTCTCGTGAACGGCTCCGCACAGCAGCACCAACACGGCACCAGCGCTGGAAATGAATGTCCCAGGCCTTGAGGCTTCACTCAAAAGAGTCTCGAAGGAGTTCCTAGTAGCAAGAATGCTACTACTCGTAAGGCCAGGAGCCCCTAGTAGCGTCCTTGCTCTTAGTAGTAAGGCCAAGAGCCCCTAGTAGTACTGTTCGCACAGGTGGAATTACGAGCACTTGAGCAGTTTGCCGAAGGGAATCGCATTGAGATGCCTGGCATTTGGGAAGTTCATGAGCGGCTCAAAGAAGGCAGGACAGAGAAGCGTAGGAAGGCAGATGCCATTGCAATGCTCAGTCAATGGGATGGCTTTGACCTTGCAGAGACTCCCTTAAAGGTCTCCTTGAACAGCAGCGATGGCGTTCTGAGCCAACAAAACAAACCTTTGCCTTCGTTGCACAAGAACCCGGGCCCCTTGGCTTAAAACGCCTCCAACCTGCTAGCGATGGCCTCCAATAGCAATGGCCTCCAACCTACTACACTACGAACGAGTCCTTCTCACACTTTTGCCAAGAACTGGCCCGAACGAGGCTTTTTCTGATGAAAGTGTTTTTCATGGAAACTTCTCCCTGAGATCGGAAGGCTAGGAGAGAAGCTTCAAGCAGACCCCCTAGAGGGAGCCGTACTTTTCAAGCTGTACTTTTCATGGATATTTATCGCTTGGCGTGAAATTTGGAGGAAGAATGGAGGCCATCACTACTAGTTGGAGGCCATCGCTATTAGGTTCCTTTTGCTATTAGGTTGGAAATTCTCGCTTGGCATGAGGTTTGGACCCCTTTCATTATGGGATCCTTTCATCACGCCTGTTTTCTCGGCCTCCGTGAACGATGGGGTGATTGAGAGACTACTAGCGCTGCTGGGTGTGAAGAGCCAAACATTTGTGGAAATAGGCACGGTCTAAAGAACATTCATGTGGAAGAGCGCCACAAAGACACTGCAACATGGATGTCATGTCACTCTCCAGCGTTCGGTGTGTTGATTTGTTTAGACGTTGTCCCTTGAAGCCTTGCAGGAACTCAATTGGGTGATCAGTGCAACACTCGATACCTGCGCTCTCGTTTTGGCTTTCATGGTTTGATGAGACTTCGGCATAACAGCACAGTTGCAGATAGGAGAGCTCGAAGAGGTCTTGGCCTTTATTGCCCCTTACTACCCTTAAAGAGTCCCACCAAGATAGGCCTGGTTGTGATCCATGATAATATGCCTGCAAGTCGCAGAGAAGCGGGCTTGGAGGCATCACACTACCCGCCTGATTGCTATAAACAGGAAAGTTTGTTTTGCTTATCTTCCAAGGTGAATGGTTGGTTGGGTAGGGACACCGTGGGATGTGAAACAATATAGGTGCTGAAATCCCTCACTCGTATGCTGGCAAGCGAAATCGTTCGCCCCGGGCTGCAACCGCTTTGCCTAATCACATCGGTTCACATTGGCGATTTCATCTCTGATCGATTCATAACCTCCTGCAATCTTCTCCACAAGCTACAGTCGGCCCTTGATACATCCTCCCTTGCACCGGATAACGGAGGGAAGTTGTAAGGCGAGCTCAACTGGATGGTTAGCCTGTGTGCGCTGGCCTAGCAGGCTGAATTGGAGGCCCTCTCTTGGGCCATAAGGCCCTAAAGAACGGGGCAAGTCACCACACTTGGATGTTGCAGACCTGACACCTTGACTCTTGGCAGTGGTGGCCTAGGCCCCTGCGTGTGCAGGTCCCTTCCAAGGCCGTAGCTCCCGTGATCGACTCTGCTTCCTTCGAGAAGAGGTTTCTGCGAGTTGGATGAGTCATACCGAATGGCCTTCAGCTCGAGACCTGAGTTGTCCCCATTGGTCCCCACACCGAGTGTATCTTCCAATGGCAAGCGCGGACCCAACAGGTACCGATCTTACCAGGTGAAGCACTACGTCTACCCAGCTCACCCCTTGGGGTTGTCACGGTCAATAACTGGAGGGACGTGACGTCTTCTGGTCCGTCATGAAGCTGCTGTCTCTTCCTTGATTTGGGAGGGCAGCGCTTACACTAGTTTCAATTTGCTCTCTTCCCTTTCCATATGTTTTTAAGTGTCGTATTGGGTTGTTTGGCAACACGACACTCCTGTCCGATACTTGTGAGGGGGTGAGGTATAGGTGCTCCGTCTCCTGCACAAGCTTCTGTGTGCGAGTAGTCGAAAAGGAACGATGGGGCAGAACATACAGCTAACTTCATACCCTTAGGTTTCTTGTTTTAACTCTTTCGTCCTTTTGTCCAGACTCCAGACGTGTCTTTCTTTTATTTATTTCTTTCTTATGTATGCTTCTTGCCTCTTGCCTCGTGGAAACAGAAACAAAGAACCTGCGCTTACTCTACTGCTCCGGCACGACCTGCATTAAATGACCTTCATGAAAGAAGGGGAGGTATGTACTCAACAGCACTTCGCTACAACACAGCACCTGCGGCAGCCAGCCACACAGATGTGAGCTGGATGCTCCTACTACTGCCGCCGACCTTTTGACATCCACCAAAACTGGCGGCTCGCCAGCGCTCACTGCCGCTCGCATCCCTTTGTATAAGGATGGTCAAAGGTATTGTAGCGAAGGTGTGTCACGGTTAACCTTGCTTGCTTTGTCGCAGTTGAGCCGGAGTTTCAAGCAGGACAGTAAACGTCCAGACCAAGAGGCCTAAGCGGATAACAATGAAAGATTTTGTTATAAGTTGTGTTGTTTTCTTGATGTTCTTTCTTTCTATTATATATCCAAGGAATAGTTAAGTAAGACTTCAAAAATAGAAGGATTATGTAAAAAAATCAACAGAACACCTCAAAGGTCATGCTTTTTGAAAGATCTTCTCCCAGTGGCGTTCAGAGCTGTAATACGAGTTTCATGGCGAATCATACTGAATGATCATGCTATCAAACGTCAAAGTTCGATGTTTCGAGTAGCAAAACTGCTAGCAGGAGCATGTAGAGGCATAATAATTACTTGGAGCACCTAGCTAGCAATAGCAAGAAGGAAACCACTGGGGTTTTGAAGCAAGCCTCACATCGGCTTGCGACCAGAGAAGTCTTGGAAGCCTTCGCATGGTCAAAGCGATGCGCGCGAAGGATATCAGGTGGGATATGAGAAAAACAAAATGAAGTAGTAACAAGTGCCACGCTACTAGTAACAAGTGCCTTACTAGTAGTAACAAGAAGCTAGTAGAAACAAGTGCCTTACTACTAGGAGCAAGGACGCTACTAGGATGTAAGGAACATATAAGTTTGGTCTAGTGGCTACGACACATCCCTCTGCGGTTACACCTCGGGTGCAACGCTAGCTGGACACGCGGGCCACTACCCCAACTCTGCAGTTGAGGGGATGAGCTAGGGTGTGGACCATTAAACAAATATATATATACAGTATATACAAGCCGTCGACATAGTGTATCATGTATTCTTCAATCGGCCATGACTTTCCAGTTTTCAGACCCTACAGTTGAAACAGTAGCAAGGACGCTATTAGGTGGAGGCCATCGCAAGTAGGTTTCAGGCCATCGCTACTAGTAACTAAGAAGCTAAACTAAGAAGCTACTAGTAGGTCCTTCGTATGAGCGGACTTCTTCGCAGTTGCCTTCGCCTTCCAAGGATGGACGACAATTACGAAAACCATGAGATCAACTTAACTACCCATCGGGTGACGCCGGACAATGTCGTTGAGCTTTTGCAGAACTACTCCACCCCATTGGACTTTGATGTTCTCTCGCTGGACTGTCTTTAAAGTTCGCAAGCTCAGCCTGTGCTTTTTGTCAATCAGCATACAGTAGCATGGGAATGGTTTGTGGCAGGACACTGATGGAAACCAATGGCTACTTTGGATGAAACTGAGCACAAGTGGCTTTCGTCCACGAATTGTACCTTGCTCCTTTGAGGTTCATCTACCCTTTCTTGATGCAAACACCCCCACCGGTCAGGCACTAGCGGCACTAGTACTTCAAAGTGTCGACCTTGAGGTAGTCATTGAGTACGGGGAGGATCTTCCATATGATCAAGATGTTGCAGTGAGATTTTCGAACATTCCGATTCATCAGCTTTGCGACTTGGTTCGAGGAGCGTTTAGCATTTGTTATTCTTTCTGGCCTAAGTCTACCTAAGTCTACCATTAGCGTATGCTATGCTAGAGCTAGCGGGGGACGCAGGGAAAGATAACTCCAACAGCTGGGCATGAATTTGCTGATTGCGCATTGGCAACCTTTTGCATTTGTCAGCAAACTTACGACCTTTGCACGTTTATCGACAACTCGTGTGTGTGTGTGTGTCTGTTTGTTAGACACTGCTGTCTTCTAAAAAGTAAACCTGTTCAATGAGCCATGTGTGCATGTTAACACAGCAATACGTCAGTGGGACACATGTGCCAACACATGTGCAAGCAGAATAGCACCTCAACAAGCAAGAACCCAGGAACATCTTCCGGGCGTGGGCTTCGGAATCCCACAGCACGATTTGCGCATCTCAGCGTGACAATGTCTTAGTAGCTGGTAGCTGTTAGTGTGACCCATGCCAGTATGACAATATGTCGGCATGACAGCCTGGGAACTTGTCAGTGCAACATCACTCCAGCATATTAGTGTAACAAAGAAACCTCGTCAGCGCGTCTACACGTTTGCGCGAAGGCATTCTAATATACACGACAAAGCATCATGATCATGATACCATTTATCGGCATGGCAACACCTTAGTGTGCTGGCAGTTTGGCAAAAACGCATGGTGGCCTGACGGCATGCCAACATGTCAGCGCAACAACAGGCCAACCTCGTGACGTGTCAGCAAAAACGCTCATAGCGGCATCTCATCGTATCTGCAAAGCACTCCGGAACTTGAAGGAAGCTGCTCCCAAACTCCAGAACCTCCTCCGGAGCCTGCTCCGGAACCTGCTCCGGGATCCGGCTCGAGCAGGATCTGCTCCAAAGTCTTCACTGTGGCTGAAGACCACTAGCTTCGCTGTTGGGGAAAAAAGACGAGGTTGCATGCAATCGGCAATTCAAAATGCATTTGATGGGTAGACACTGAGGCTTGGTGAACCTCGGACGAGCACCTGCATTATTTGCTGCAAGCTTGACTGCAATGCGAAATTTGGGACGTGCGTTGGGATATGTCTTGGTGCACCTGGCGGCCGTGGACCGACAAACGAAAGAAATCACACTTGCACATGTATTGGTCATTTTCGCTACTAGGTTGGAGGCCATCGTTAGTAGGTTCCTTAACGTATTTGTCTATATATTTGTTTTTTCGATTGGAGGCCAAGGTGTTTTCTTTTGTTCTGCAGACCTATCATCATTACTTTTACAGTGTGGTTTAGTGGCTATGACACATCCCTCGTGTGTCAGACCCGGGTTTAATCCCCGAGTGCAACACTGGGTGGACAGGCGGGCCACCACCCCACCCCTGCAGTTGACAGAGGGGCTCAGCTAGGGTGTGGACCGTTGAAACACAACACTTTGTTTGTTCCTTCCTTCCTTCCTTCCTTCCTTTCTTCCTTCCTTCCTTTCTTCCTTTCTTCCTTCCTTCCTTTCTTCCTTCCTTTCTTCCTTCCTTTCTTCCTTCCTTCCTTTCTTCCTTCCTTCCTTCCCTCCCCACTTCATGATTTGCTTTGACAAGTGCCTGACTATTTGCTTCGGTGTGATGAATTAAGTGGAACCAGAAACCATGACTGATTGAGTTGCTCAAAAGTCTGAGACTGAATGACATGCTTTTCTCCAGGATCTAACCTTTGTGAGATCCGACCTGCTGGCCTCAAGCAATCTCAGATTCCCTGCTCAGGAGACGAGCTGATGAATTCCACTTTGAGGTTCGTTATTTTTTGCTCATAGAATCTCATAGACTCATAGCCCCACTTATGAGACTGCAGGGCATGCCATTTGTGGGCGCAGAAATGCGCATCAGACCCTTAAAGCTGTGGCCCAGCCTCCGCTTGAGCTTTGTGGCCTAAAAGTCGCTGGTTTTGTGGCGATTCAGAGTAGCTTCTTGTTACTAGAAGCAAGAATGCTCCTAGTAGCGATGCCAGGAGCCCCCCAGTAGCGTCCTTGCTCCTAGTAGTATGGCCAGGAGCCTCTAGTAGCGCCCTTGCTCCTAGTAGCGATGCACGTTGTTCCTAGTAGCGATGCACTTTGTTCCTAGTAGCTTGCTTCTTCTTTTGAGTTTTGGAAAGGATTTTGTTCCTTCCAAGCTCCGGATTCCATTCGGAAGCAGATGGAACATTCCTTTCTTTGTGGTGGGGAATGGATGCCATATGCTTGGGTCATGTTCATCCCGATGTGGGTCATTTCACGTAAGTGGCTCAAAATTGCATAGGGTTAAACATGCACGACACATTCTGTTCTGTCAAGGACGATCCGGCTGGACTATGTGCACTTGCTCGATATCAGGCCTGTCCTGTCGATCGACCCTTTGAAACCACTGCAGTAGTAGCTTCTTTGTTACTAGTAGTAAGGCACTTGTTACTAGAAGCGATGCACTTGTTCCTAGTAGCT